AACACTGGCATGAGTTTGTATGAGTGTAGTGTTTGCTTTCAACTCATTCAGTCTTCACTGCACTGTACAAAGATAAAACATTACAGTTCTACCACTACTGTTCATTTACCTTGATTGAAAAATGCCTAAAAGAGCAGTTTGTGAAGTCATGGAATAGGAGCAAACCTGGATCTCAGACCCAGTATGAACCTTTGACCCAACATTTGATATATGGCCCCTTGACATACAACATGTACTCACAGTGAACATATAGCAAAACAGAAAAATACCAGGGCTGCAAATAATGCTTATTTTCATCAGTGTTTCATTAGCCAGTTATAACTGATCCCTCCTTTAGTCAATAAAATAGCAGGAAACTGTAATAAATCCCAATCGAAATTTCCAGATGCCAAGGTAAAGTCTTTAAATTGCTATTGTCCCATCAACTGTAAAAAACATATCTTCAGTTTACAGTGAAATAAAACAGAAAAGCAGCAAACACTCACATTTGAGAAACAGAAATTTGATATTTTTGCTTCACAAATGATTGAGACTGTTATTCAATTATAAAAATCATTGTCAAATAATTTTCAGTCTACACGAAAACTGAATATCTTTCTTGTCCAAGAATGAAAAAAATGAATGTTGTGGGAATAGAATAGAAATAGACAAACAGAACATGTTGTCTGATGAATGCAGTGATTTTTATTTCCAATCACCCACTCTCTTCACCTCTTAGCGGTCCATCAGAGCAGGCTCATGACAAAGTCTCCACCGGGTCCAAGACCAGCTCCTGCTCAGCCTCTACACCAGCTCCAGCCGCTTCCTCAGCCCCAACCCCAACACCGGTCCCTGCTCCTGCCCCTGCCACGGCGACTTCAGCCCATGCTCCGTCTCTGACTCCTGCGTCCACAGCTCCGGCAGCTCCGACAGCCTCTGCTCCGGCCCCAACAGCCAGCTCCTTCCCTCCATCCCCCAACTGCCGCATCCGAGAGGTCCACTGTGGCAGCCAGGTGCGGTTGGTCGTTATCGCTATCCGAGACATCACCAAGGGGGAGGAGATCACTGTGGACTACAGTCTGACAGAGTGGGGAGAGAACCTGGTCAGTGCTTTCAAAAACAGATGCAATAAAACTACACACATACACGTTTCTGTTATTACACGTGAGCACATTTGAGCACATTTATTCCCTCACGGTAAACCACCCAAAATCATTTTACACTTTTTAATTTCCCAGTTTAATTTGTCTTACCTTTGTCTAATTCTTAGCCTAACCTGAACCAAACCTAAATTTAACCTCAACTCCAAAACTCAATTTCTGATCCAATTTCTGATCCTTCAGTAGGTCAAGGCAAGGTAATTATCTCACTCTTCAATATTCTTCATCTATCTGTCCTTGGCTACTTGGTCCTCATAAGTATAGAAATACACTGTGCATATCTCTGATGACTTCAGATAGGCAACCATATGTGTATTCACACACTGTTGATCAGCTTGACACACTCACTCTGACACACACACACACACACACTCACACTATCTACTGCGCACAGATTCATGCTACACACACACACAGCTAAGCAAGGCATGGGGTTACCATGGTGATGGCTGAGCTCCAGCTCTCTCTCTACCTATAGTGCTTTAGCAACAGTAACCATGGTTATTACATGACATCTGTTCCTTTAATGGATATCATTAGATTGGATCAATTTACTCAACAAAATTAAGATACCAGAATCTGTTTCAGGAAATTAAATTGACAAAATTGAGAAATTGACATCAGAGGTTTAAATGGGTCCAGGGTTACAGGGTAACCTATTTGAATATCTTAAGTGTTGGGGAGATGTAGTCTAAAACACACCATTTTAGGTTTACGTTATTAGCTGATTGATTTGTTCTGTTCTTTGTATTCCAGCCTGATTGATAACCCCATGTTTATGACTGATGAGATGTTGACAGTGTTTGAAAGTATATCTTAATTCACTTCTTTTGTTTGGCTTGTTAGAGAAAGATTCAGATTCCTAATCAACCTCTGTGCTCACTACCAACTGTGGAGGGGTGTTCTCCCTCTCTCTGAGTGACGGCTTAGGCTGATTGTGATGGCAAACATTAATGAGCAGTGTGCCGGCTGTTTTAATGTGAGTGCTCTGTGTCCCACAGGGTTTCCGTGGTACTGTGTCTCCAGCGCAACACGAGTGTAACTCTGACACTGAGAATAACAACAATATCAAAAAGGTAAGACAAAAACATCACCTGTTTCCCTGAAAGCATGCAATTTTATTATTTAAAAAGCGACAAGTAGACACTGCACACTAATGTAACCCACCTTACACCTAGTTTTGTGGAAGGTAACATTTTGTATGTTCCACAATTACTTCCCTTAAAAATGAGCTAGTTACTTTTTTAAGCTTGGAATCCAGGTTTTTTGGATAAAAGTAAAAAATATAAAATTGTGAGTTCTAATTATCAGCACAAATATAAATATATCTCAAACTGACTGCAATCAATATAATTATGAGTACAGCGTATCAAATGACAATGTGTAACGTGAAAGGGATCATTTGTAATGAACTTTCAAAGAATTATTATCTGAATCCACTGCTCCCTTTAGCTTTATGAAGCTTTGTAGTGAGTTTCATCAAAACTCAAAACTTTACTGTTTTGGTTCACTCTCACCACTGTCAAAATTTTGTTTTTGGCTGCAGCAGGCAGCTGTTTTCTGTGGAAAAGCAATAAAAACCTACCGTACTCTACCTGCTCAGCACCAAAGGGCAGACAGACTGGTTGGTGAAAAATACTGGAATATTTACCAGATATTTCCCTCAGGAATTAGCAGAGATCATAAAAAACAAAGTTAATATTGGAATTAGAGTCACATGGTGGCCAGAAACATGAACTCCAAATGAATGATAATGTTGCTCTCTCACTGTTGGATGTGTAAACAGGAATCTATTTGCTTACAAGTTACTTGCAAACTTATAACTTAAAATGAGATAGTAATGTCATTATTGTGTTCACAGAATTATTAATTGCATATTTAAGACAAAGTTTTCCCAAAATTCAACCTTACGAATTTGGCAACATGATCTTCATTAGAATTTAAAATAAAGCTGCACATCTCAGGTTGTTGATGTGGTTGTGATGCACTGCTGCGCCTGCAGGGTACCACCTGTATAGATGTGGGTGGACAGCATGATGTGGGACTCAACATAATCATTATCATAAAGTCTTCCTCCCCCTCTTCTGGATAACTGTTTGATTACGTGTGTTAAGATGTCATCGAGTTTAACTCCTTCAAAGTAAAACAGCATTAGTACATTAACCTGCTTATGCTTAGTGCCAGACTACTGTCTGTTGTCTCTCTGCCTCCTGTCACACACTATATGTTGTGAAAGGGAAATCACGCATGTGCAGACAATTCACTGTTGATTCTTTTGCCAGTGACGGTCACCCTTTGCTTATTGCTTTGGAACTTAATAACACTCCTGACTGAGAATCTAATTAGACTGACAAAAGTTAAATATGCTCATGAACTAAAGTCAACATTGACGTTAATTATAGTAAACTATAATAAACTAACTTACAGTGCAGAAAACAAAGTAATGAGTTTGAAAAAATAACTAAAAAGCGAAATCATTATTTCCATGGTGCTCAAACTGGGGGCTGAGGTGTTGCAGAAGGGGTGCCAGAAGTGACTAGGGGAAAATATGGAGAACTTCTGAAGTGGAATTAATCTGATTCATCAAAGAACAAAAACCAAACAAGAGTGGTCTTATTCTGGCAAGGCCATCAAGATCCAGGTTAGCAAGATTTATTCAGACAGCAAAACGACACATTAAGTACAAGTAACAAGTGATTGTTGTCGAGCAAAAATGTCAAAAATCAAATCCCATGATGTTCTCCCCCCCCTCACTTGCAGGAGGATGAGCCCCTCTCTCTGACAGCCCAGCAGCGGCAGCAACAGCAGCAGCAACAGCAGCAGCAGGAGTACGTCACCCCCTCTTGGTCCCTCTCCCCCTCCTCCTCCCCCATCTCCCACTCTGATGCCAGTGACTCAGATGCTGGGGATGAGGACAACACCAGCCCCCGAGGGCGTGCACTACGTCGCCGCAAGAAACGTCGCGGCACTCCTTCAAAGAAAAAGACCCCCCATCGGATCCCACCTGGGCGGCCACCACCGGTCTCCCCTGCCAGCGTTCCTCATCACAACCGTCCGCTCCCTTCATTCCACCCTCCCGCACAGTCCTCCCCTCCCTGCTCGTCTTCTTCCTCTTCAACTAAGCCTTTGTTCAAAGCTCCAGCTCCTTTGGGCTCCAACAGCACGAGCAACGTCAACGCAGGCGTCCCCAGAGGAGGAGTGTCCATAGACTCCATGCGACAAACATGCGAGTACTGTGGACGCCATTTCCGCTCCCTCGGACGCCACTTAGACAAACACCACGCCCACCAACCAGAGGTGTGCTCTGCCCTTGTTGAGCGCTACACACAGATGCCCCGCCTGCATGCACAAAACACAAATCCGACTACAACTCAAACCACACACACTCAGCAGCACTCGAGGTCGTCACAGGTCTCGATACAGAGCCGCAGTTCTGATCTTCCACAGAGTGGCGTCCAGGACCTCTCTATGTCTCCACCCAATCTCACAGCAGCCAACCAATCCCCCGCCTCCTCTGGAAGGAACTCCACCCCACCTGTGCTGAGTCCTCCACGAGGACAGAATGCAGTGCCGGTGTCTGTCTTAAAGAGGAGCCCACCCCCTGTGGCTGTGTCACAGTCCAGGAAGGGAGCAATGAGGAGGCTTAAGAAAGACAGACAGGAGGAGGAGGACGATGATGAGGAGGACGAAGATGAAGAAGATGTGGAGGTTGTGGAGGTAAAGAGGCCCAAAGAAGAGGAGGATATAGAGGTGGTGTGTCCTCAGTCCTTCAGCAGCAAGTCGGCCAAAGAGATGGAGCCACCAAAAGAAGAGGAAGATGAGGAGGATGAGGAAGAAGAGGAAGAGGAGGAGAATGGAGTGATGGAGGTGGAGGATGAAAGTGGGACAGAGGATAAGGACAAAGACTTGCTGAGGTAACATGAGGTCTTTGTCTGCTTTGTGAGCAAATTTGTGAGACTGTGAGTGTGTACCATGTGGAACAGGTGTTAGGCATTTTTTTTTTTTGATAATTCTTCAACACAAATTAATCATTTGTATCCTGCAATTACTTCATATGTTCTCTGATCTCTACTTCATACATTACTGCATAAAAATTACTGAGAGACGCCAAAGATAACACAACATCATGTTCACAGCTAAACCCTGAGGTATATTCACAAGTTTTAGGCCAAAATCAGAGTAAAATGTTATTAGACCAAAGTGGGACATTTAGTCTATTTCCTGACAATTATCAATGCTTTAAGCAAACTGCTGAAACGATGCATCATCAAAATGGTATGGGAACAGAGTGTTGATAAGGGCAATTAGTGTGCTAACTTTACACTTTGAATTTGAGGAAATTAGTTCAGTGGTTATTTTGGCACCTTTGCCACCTAGACACAGTAACCTGTAACTTAACCTCCTGCTGCTTCAATAACTTAACACACAACTCAAACACATGCTCACAGTGTATGAATTACTAAATCGCTGGAACAAATTAGTGCTGCAAAGAGTCATTGATTAAGCGATTACTAAATTGACTGAAAATAAATAACCAACTACATGGACAAACATTGGTTGGTTACAGCCTCTCAAATGTGAGGATTTGATTCTTTTCATTGTCATGCATGACAGTAAACTGAATATCTTCAGGTTTTGGACTGTTGGTCGGACAAAATAACACATTTGAAAATGTCACATTGGGCTGTGGGAAATTGTAACAGTATTTTTCTCTATTGTCTGACATTTTATAGACAAAACAATTAATTTAGATTAATCAAATCATGAAAATAATTGTTATTTGCAGCTCTAAGAAGAAAAACTAATTTATGCACATTAATAATCTCAAAGTTCACCTGTGGTACCTGCCTGGCTCTGTAGTAACATGCCAGTGGGTTATAAAAAATACTCTAACAAACAATGCATGAAGTACTTGTAAGGTAAATGAAACTATTAAAATAATGAACTAATCACTCACTGTCTCTCTATTTTCAGTAGTTCGGGGCGTCACCACATGCTGCCTCTGCTCTCGTCCTTGTCCTCTCTGGTGCTGTACCTTCGACGGCTGCAGCACTCAGCCTTCCTGTCCCTGTCTCGGCAGCTGCAGTCAGCCGAGGCCTGGCGCCTTCTCTGCCACTCCAGCTTGGCTCTCCTAATCCTGTACAACCGGCGACGTGAGTGTGAGGTCTCCAAGCTGTCCATTGCTGAATATCGGGCCCGTGTCACTCCCCAGTGTCCTGTTCCTGTCCCACCTGGCGCCCCTCCAGCTCTCACCCCACTGGAGGCATCTCTGTCCCCCTTTGAGCGCCTGGTGCTTCCTCATCTCCCTAGAGTTGGGGTCCAGGGTAAGCGTGGACGCGTCCAGCCCCTCATCCTCCCCCCTCACTGTGAGCCATGCCTGGAGCTCCTCCTGCAGACACGGCAGGATGTAGGAGTTGACCCCGCAAACCCATATGTCTTCGCCAGGCCCTACCACTCCCCTGCCACACCACTGCGAGGCACTGATCTCCTCCGGAGCCTGGCCCGCTCCAGTGGTACCCGCAATCCCCGTGCCCTGACCCAGACCAGGGTACGGCGCCAGGTAGCAATTCTAACCCAGCTGCTGCTTCTGGGAGAAGGAGAGGAACCTGGGCAGCCAGGAGGCAGCGCTGTGGAGAGGCTGGAGCACTTCCTTGAAAGGGAGTACCATGTGACACAGAACTGTGCTGGAATTGGCCAAGACCCAGGCCTGATGGGCAGAGTGGGCCGAGTCGTGCTTTGTGGAGAGAGGGATGGAGTGCTGTTCAGAGGAATGAGCCTGAACCACATCTGCCTGGAACTGGATGGTGAGGTGGATGGATGGCTGAACGAATGAGTGGGACTGATGTTTTGTTCTGTTGTCCAAGACAAGCTGTATCTTCCCTTCCTCAATGATGTCAAACAAACCCTGGCTGGAAAAGGATTATAACCCTCCTTCCAGTTTCTCTGTATGTGTGTGTGAATGGAGTTTTATTGGGAACATGGAGATTAGTAACAGATGAGACAAATGAAGTTCTGCTTTTGCTTTCCACTCCTTTCTTAACCTGTTGCCAACCTTTCCTCCCCCTCCCTCTCTCCAGTTATGTCAGGAAACTCTGCAGACTCATACTCAGAAGGAGAGTCTGAAGGGGAGCAGGTGAAGGAGAAGCCAGAGGTGCCCGCTCTTGCTCCTGCTCCTGCTCCGAACCCTACACCTACCCTGCTGTATGTCAGGAAGGGCAAGAACAACGGGCGGGTGGGACGACCAAAGAAGCTCAAAAACACCCAGCCACCCCCTCTGCCTCCTCCACCTCCACCCGCAAACCGCAGGAGAGGCTCAGGTCAGCCCAAATCAGGTTTGTTTGGGTTTCAAATAAAAGTGTAACAAAAGGAAACACAGAGCTGCAGGAAGCAAATTGTAGGAAAACAACAAAATAAATTAAGAAAAATGTGCAGGTGAGATTAAAAGACATTGCAGTGCAAAGGTAAAAACAAAGAAAATGAGATTAAAAGAAAGAATGAAATGATGAAATGAAAAACAAAAACACAACAATAATAACATACTGAAGAGAAAACAAACATACTTTAACAAATGAGAAAAAAGACAAAGAAAAATAAGCAGAGCACACTTAGTTGTCTCCCTGGCTTTTTCTGTGTGTACAAGCTGAGACTTAAAGGTAAAGAGAGGCGAAAAATTACAACAAAGGCAGTTCAAGCTCTTTGGTTCGTCAGACAGACTCCTAGTCAGTATTTAAGTTTGAAGCACAAGGTGTACCGTAACATGTTTATCCCAGCAGGGAGGTTCACTGGTGGACTTGCAGGATATGCACACTGTCGCAAACACATACAACAGACACAAAATAATATGTACAAGCTCAGAATTTCCCATTTAACAAAAATGTCTATCTGCTGCATCCACTGATCTCATTCTGCCATGTTAGTTGTTGAGTGATGTAGATTGATTTGCAAATGTTACTGTCATGGTCTGGATCCTCTGCTTATCATGAAAAACAATCAAGACATTATGTTGGGAGATGCAAACTATTCTTTATAGATCAAGACATTTTTGATGTACGGTGATTTCAGTTTCTCATTAATTGTAAATCTGAGAAATTAAAAAAGTAAGGGATATACGTTAACGAACTGAGAAATGCTAGGGACTTAGTACTTGATTGAAAGTGACCTAGATCTGATTGGAGGTGGCCTAGATCTTCCTCAGTCAGAGTCAAACTGTGTTCTAACAGTGTCATTTAAACATTAACATTATGAGAAACTCAAATGCCTAATTCTAATAGTAATATTATAGCTGTATTGCTTTCTGACTACGAGGCTGATGTAGCTGCGAAAACCATGAAGCATATGGAACATTTTCTGCTTGGAAATGGAACTTGCGAATGGTTTGGGTCCTACTGGAGGTTTCACCAGCCTCATGCAGAAGAGAAGCTGCTAAAAGAAAATGTAATCTGTAACTCTATTCATCTCTCCTCTCTTGTAGGAAAGCGAGGCGTTCTGAAGCGACCCTGGTCGGAGGCGGAGCGTGCAGCAGTCGAGGAGCACCTAACCCGAAACATCACAGAGCTCCGAGTCCCTGCCAAAGCTGACTGTGAGCGCTGCCTGCAGCAGTGTCCCCTGCTGGTCAGCAACCATCGCGACTGGCGAGCCATCAAGTTCTACTGCCACAACCGCATTCAGCTGTTGAAGAAAAACCAGCGGCGTGAAAACGAACCACAGCCCCTCACTGTCTGTTGAGAGGGGGAAGTGTTCGAGGGAGGGAGGGAGGGGGGGAGGGGGGCTGGAAGAGGGACGTCTGTGGAGCAGCTGATCAGAGCAGATTCTCAAATGGTACCCTGCTGCCCAGGAAATGCACTAATTTTGAGAGGACGGTCATAAATTTGTTTGTTTTTGACATGGCTTCTAATTTGACAACTGATGGCATTTTTATTTTGAGCCAAACAGGAACAGAAATTTCAATTCACTATTTCGCTGCTCTACTTTAAGGTCTTAAAAAATGACACTAGAGTCTTTATGGTGCTCCTGTTTTAAGGGTTACAGCGCAAGTCTTGTCAAAAGCAGTGCACTTGGATGGGTGCCGTTTGAGACATGCCTTGGGGGATTTCGGAGACCATGGCACTGGCCGCAGCCTGTGTTGTGTTGTATATGGATATGTTTTTCTCCTTCCATAACAGATACACTAAACTGAAATGTAAACAAGGGAGGCAACTGAGCCCTACAGTGTTGTTATATGAACGTCGTGAAGTAGCATTAGTGTTTTATGCACTTGGAGACGTTAATAGGACAAATGGCCTGTGCCTGGGCCACACTTTTCTTAATAGTGGCTTGATAATTAGAGTAGGCCTAACTAACGCTAACCTAGAAGAATAGCCTCAAACAAGCTAGTTCATCTTTTCATACAGCTGACTGTGCAGTTCTGACTTTGGTTTCAATATATTTGGACCTTAATTTACATATAAGGTACTAGATGAGGAATGAGTTACGCTTTTGCAGTTACTATGAAGTTTGTTTGTTTTTTACACATTACGATAATTTGTTTTTGAGTTGTGGGTTTCATGACAGAAACAATTAAATGGCATCAGAATGTTATGAAGTTACTTTTGAATACCTAAGATGGTTAGTTATACTACAATGTCCAAGAAACATACTCTAAGAACTGTCCTCGTTCTTTTTCCCATAAACAGACACTCAAGATGTCGACAGCTACCATTTCCCCCTGAGGAACAGTATGTTCATGTTTCCTATTGTTTGTTGTTTTTTCTGCCTGTTGCACATTTGTTGTTCAGAGAAGTAAAAAAAGGTGCTATAGGCCAATAAGCTGGATATCACTTTATATGTGGAGAGGAGATTTGCCATGGTTGTGTTCAAAGTTTCTTAAAAAAGTGGGCATTTATCTGAGAAGTGATTGTTATGTGTCGCCACGTTTGTTGCATTGTCTGTTTTCGTCTTCCCCAACGGCTAGAGCTCCTTGTGTCCTTTCCCAGCCACACTACATGGTTTGCAGCTCGACCAGATTTTTGGTTTCTCTTCAGTGTTTCTGGAAATCTGCGTCCATTGGACTAAAACCTCCATGAAACCTCAAGACAGATACTTGAAGTTATTTAAACCTTTTGCAGAATCTTTATGTTCTTTCTTGCTCTAGCCTTGCCAGTTACATTGTACATAACAAATATATTATCATTATGCTAACTGGTTGTTTGTGCTAGACTATATGTAGCTTTTTTTCCATTTCTGAGTTATTGCTATCTGTACATAAGCCTGTTTGTAAATACTCCTCAGAGAAACAAAGAAAAAACACAATGTATGACATGCCTTGGTTATTGTGTTATGTTTTTTCTTTTTTTATAAGTCTTATAAAAATTTAAAGCTCTATGTTTTGTGCTGTGGTTATTTATTTCAGTGCCTTCTTTTGCCAAAAGTGAATTGTTTTTCTTTTTGGTGAAAATATCGCAGGGATTTGGAAGTCATTACTTAAATGTAAAACGCTTATATTATTGTAAAATGTGTTGCAAGTTATGTAATTGAGTCCAGTATTTACAACTTTGTATCCCACTTGCAGTTCAGCATTAAAGCCACTAGATGGCTGTGTTGGTTCATAAACCCTTAACAGTTATGAGAAAGCAGTGCGAGGAATAGTTCTGAGAATACCAGTAGATTTCCAGGTAAAAGAAAGAAAACGTTCTCTCCTGAATGTGAAACTGTTGAGTGGATTTGTGTACTGATAGTCTGACTCATCTAAAGATGCCTGAGAAAGCATTTTATGATTATATTTCTTAGTTGGCTGTTGGTGCTCTATACCTACAATTAATTGTCTACACTTTCAATCTGGGACTTCTCAAATGAAAGCAAGAGTCGCCATGAATCTGTCATCTGCAGCAACACCAAACTCTACATTGTCTGTAGTTACTTTCATTCAGAGGGAGGAAACTATGTTAATATGTAACATTTTCTGCTGAACACTTTAATTCAGGCAGACTTGTGCAGACTAATACTGACAGCCAAAAGCCCTCGAGAATGCTGAGATGTTGTTAAATCATATTTTGAACAACAGGATGTTTCTAATATGATTTGAAGATCGGCATCTTCCAAAGAGAAAGACTGGAGTTACCTGTGACATGACCTGCAACAGACTATGACCTTAGTGAAACTGGTGACCTAGTGATTAAGACACAGAACTGCAATGTCCCCAGATCAATTCCAGCTGGGTACCTTTGTTACATATCGTACTCCTTAAGTTTCCTGTATGTAAACTGTCACTGAAGGTAAAAAAAAACAAACAAAAAAACAGCAAAGGTAAGAAACTGGAAGAGCACTGGGAACAGACAACATGAGCTGTCTGAATACCAGACCAAAAAGGTCACAGCATCCACCCTGAAGGTGTCAAAATGATCAACGAATGGTCAGGGAACAGCTGGAAAAAAGTCAAGGAGGTCATTCGCATTTAATACAACACCTTTTATCATTAGGAGGTCTGTAGTTCATGGTCACACGATGGCAATTCATCTCACTCTCTTTATCTGCGGATGAAAATGAAAATCTCGCAGTCCACATTTCAGTTTTTTCCAGAGCATTCAACCTTATGTAGCAGCAGATGAGGGGGTGCTCCACTGATTTTACACATAGAGCTCAGTTTACTTGTCATGAGTACTATTCAAACCTTCTGTGGCTCTGAAAAGTGTGAGAAAATGACCCTGATGACATTATCAGGCCTTATCTCTGTAAAACATAGAAACCCTGCCTTACAAACTGGGTGCTTGAGAGGATCCTGTAGGATCCAGTTTTTTTCAACCTCAGCCTATATAGAGTCTAAAAACGAAGACTGTTTGGTCTATGTATAAAATCTTTGGGTGACTTATACTGCCTTGAAAACTCAGTTTTCAAGACTGTGAAGACACTGGCATACAACTTCATATGACCCACCTGTGTCTAATAAAAGTTAAGGTCTGTTTGCTTGTGATGGAATCAAGGAATATTTAAGCAATTAAGTGTTTAAGTGCAATAATGTATTGTTAGAGTTCTTTGTTGGGAAATGTTTAGTTAATAAATTGTACAGTTGTTTTTTATTCTTTTTCCCTCTGTGAACGTTTGTTCTGTGTTGGTTCATAGGCTATGACATGAATGTGGTGACATTTTGGCCAGGAATCATTTGAAGACAATCCTGGTTAAATAAAGGTCGAGAAAAAAATTTGTTTGGTGTGTATGCATCTTTCCATCTTCGTGCGTAGCCTACGCCACGTTTCAGTGTGAATTCTACACAAGGCTTTGGTACGGCTCATCCACACCTGCTACAGGTGAGTCAGATTCCGAGTCTGAGCATCGACCAGCGCTGAAGCTGGTCTGGAGAGGAAGGACGCCGACTTTCAACATGGAGACGTGGGATCGAACCTCAGGTACATCACACTGGTGTGTGTGTGTGTGTGTGTGTGTGTGTGTGTGTGTGTGTGTGAATGTGATTGTGTATGTGGAAAAGCAAAAACAAAAACAACAAAACTAAACTCAAACAATAAAAATTTCAAACGCCGCGTTCACGAAACTTCGTCCGTTCGCTTCGATTTCTCCGTGCGAATTTCCAACGAGGATCAACGAGGAGGAAACTGAACAGGTATACATACAAGTGAACCCTGCAGCTTAGCTAGCTAGCTGGAGGGGCGTTTTGGCTGCTTTTGTTTTCAGTTGACATCTGAGTTTCTGATATGAAGGGGTGCTTGCAAAAAAAACAAACATTTGCGCGATGGGTTTGCTATCGCTCATTTGCGCATCACATTAATGACGTCATGTCACCGTGTCAGAGCAGACGCCATTTATAGTTCGTCCTCTCACTCTCAGAGGCGGTGTAGTTGGGAAGGGGGCTGGGGGAGTTTGCGCTTCTATCTCTGGAAAAAACTTATGCAATTAGTAAAATCAGCCAGAGCAGGAAAAGCTGCCAAATAAACCACAATTCATTCATAATACTGTGAAATCGTTTCGAATAATAAACTAGTCTGCACACCACCGTGTATCTATATATCCATATATATAGATCTATATAGATCTATAGAGAGAGAGAGAGAGAGATGTGTTACTTTATTTTGGTATTTATGATTGTATATAAAAGTCAGGCTTTAGAATTGTGTAATAATAATAATAATAATAATAATGACTAGGTTCTCTTGTTCATCCATTTGTGGGATGAATGATTTGTGCAGATTAGTACTTTGTGTGTATATAAGAGGGACAGAGACTCTTTCTATTGTTGTGACTTTATTTTGGTTTTTATGAGTGTATATAATTGGTATTTATCATTTATTTATTTTTTAAAAGTTATGATAATTTGTTACAAGAATATTTTCAGTAATATTATAGCAGATTAACAGAAATATTATCAGAATACTTAAGGGTATAATATCACAGGAATATTATAGAAATTTACAGAAATATTTTCAAACATGCTGCAGTCATTATCTTACAGTATCATCATATATTTTATTAAATAAATTATCATAACTTAAAAAACAACTAAATATATGATAATTTGTTTAATAAAAAATTACAATTTGCACAGAATAGTGTGTCTTTAGTTGTAGCTAGGGCGGGGGGCCTGAAGGCGGTATTTTCCCATTGCACCATACAAGCTCGAACCACCTCTGATCATTGCCAAGGTTTGTCAAGCTCAGAGTCTTCACTCAGCATGAGCTGGCTGCTAAACAGCAGGAATCCCTGCGTGATGTCCCTTTTTGTTTTGAGGTTCTATATTCTCT